AACCGGGGCCCTCTGGCGTCCCAAGCCAGTTCTTAACCATCGCGCCACTCGGCCGGCCCTTTAATCACTTTTTTCTCTAGACTGGGCTGTTCCTCTCTGGGCATGGGACCACTTGATTGACACCTGTGATTGACAAGAGGCTATTACCTTATCTCTATAGACTGAGCATGTTCTTTCCCAGAATTCAGTCTGTTATAATGATATGAATGATTTTCTGGGCATATGTATGATATTATAATGATGGTATAATGAGGCCCAAATGAAATGAAGGTCGTTATGGCCTTTACTGTGCAGGTGTGGGGGACTGGTCTAATCCAGTCGTGTATTTTATACTCATTTGTTTCCCAGTAGGGGTGGATAATTACAGTGAAAAGGGGAAGTTTTGGATGGACAGGGGAAGTGTGGGACGTGCAGGAATGCAGAGACCCAATGTCTGCCTCTAACTGCCTGCCTTGTTTTCCCCTTGAGAGAGACGTGATCCCCATAAAATCTCTATGGGAAGTTGAAGGACAGGAGGTCTTTTCTTCTGTATCTGCTTCCTGCTGGGCAGGGGTGTAGAGCTGTCCCTGCCTATTTGGGGGATTCACGGAACTCTCATCCTATCTGATCTCAGGTGAAAGGAAGGGGTCTCAAGATCCGACTGGAAGACAAAGTTGACTTCTTTGGTTGTGACTGGCAGTCTTGCTGGGGTGCCCTCTATATCCTCAAGGCCCCTAAATGAGGAAAAATAGATTTTAATTAATAAATTTCTTAAAGAGCAGAGCTCAAAGCTATAGATGTAGGGTGGCTATGAGTTTGGAAAGAACTGTTAGCCTTTAATGTTTACAATCAACAACTATACTGGCCTGGGGAAATGTTAAAACCTATTTACTCTCTGGGATGGGATTATCCAAGTGTTAGGTCCGGAATGGCTTGGGGAATGTTGAGAAGTCACAGATTTTTTTTTTAAAGATTTTTATTGGGGGATCGGGCAAGGGGAGAAGACAAGTTGCTGTCCTTTTGTTCTTCAGTCTAGTTGTGGAGGACGCTGTTTCACTGGCTCATGTTGGTATTATCATTGCGCTCTTCCCGGCTGAGGCAGTTGGACACTGGCCATTGGACGGCCACTCACGGCGGCTCAAGGCAGCTCACAGCAGCTCTCGCTGGCTGCTGGCCACTCATGTTGGCTGCTGGCCACTCATGGTAGCTCACTGCAGCCCAGCTTCAGGTTGATCTGTTGTTCACAATCTTAGCTGTAGAGGGCGCAGCGTCACTGGCCCATGTGGGAACTGAACTGGTAGCCTTGCTACTCAGAGCTCGCATTCTCAAGCCAACTCTTAACAACTGAGCCACTCGTTAGGCCTGGGAAGTCACAGGCTTTTAAGTAGTTATCTAAAGCAGGGGTGGGTGAGAGATTTTCTGTGATTTAGTCTCGGGCAATCTTTAGGATTCAGAAACTGATTAGAAGAGTAATCAAAGCCAGGGGCTAAGGAACTAAGAAGCTAGGGAGAAGGAGACTTAAAATATCTATAGGAAAGATGAGCTGGCCGAGTGGCTCAGTTGGTTACGAGTGTGAACTCTGAAAAGTGTTGCCAGTTTGATTCCCACATGGGCCAGTGAGCTGAGCCCGAGCTGAGCTGCCGCTGAGCTGCCAACAGGTGGCAGGATGGCTCAGCTGGTGAGAGCACGTGCTCCTAACAACAAGGTTGCCAGTTTGACTCCTGNCTGCCGCTGAGCTGCCAACAGGTGGCAGGATGGCTCAGCTGGTGAGAGCACGTGCTCCTAACAACAAGGTTGCCAGTTTGACTCCTGCATGGGATGGTGGGCTATGCCCACCCGCAACTAAGATTGAACAGGGCACCTTGAGCTGAGCATGGCAACTGGACTTGGTAGCTGGGCTAGCTGCACCCTCCACAACTAGGACTGAAGGACAACAACTTGGCTGTTCCCCTTCCCCAATTCCCCAACACTGTTCCAGTTCCCCAGTAAAATTTTTAAAAGAATAATAATTTCTATAGGAAAGAAAACTTAAAAGTTTTTCAGTTGGGGGCTATTCGCCTGGCCTGTAACAAGGGTACTGCATCCCCATTTTTTGAGAGAGGAAACAGAGGTTCCAAGTGGTCCAGTGCCTTGCCTAAATTATGGGATAGACTTGGTATTTAGACACAGATCTGTGAAAATCATGATCCATCCATGATCTAGAAGAGAAAGGGGGCTGAGGAAGTTATGAGGTAGACAGGAATACAATAGAAAAGAGATATAAACTTGAAATTTGCAACGGAGAAAAGCAAGTGGCAGTAAGCCCTTGAGACTCCTTGCCTTACCAGTCCTCAGGGAAGAGTAAAATTAAGGCAACAGCAACATGCTGTCATTCCCCCATCACATCGCCAACAATTCAAATGTTTGCTAATTATCAAGTGATGGAAACAGGCATGCTCATGCATTGCTGGTGACAGTCAGTTTGGCATTTTGGTGTTTATTAATATTTTAAATATTTGCACCAGATGACCCAGCACTTCCCCTTCCTGGTTTCTACCTAGGGAGGCAGATAGGAGGTGGGTCACTGCAGTGTTGTTCCTGTAGTGAAATTGGAGCCATCCCGATGGTCAATAAGGGAGAGAACATTCTGTGGCTTCTGAACATTGTGTGCATACTTGCAGCCACGTAAAGGAGTGAGCACAATATGTGAGTGCTGATGTGGAAACGACCTCACGAGCCTTGTGTTTAGGGGGAAAACAAGCTGCAGAAACAACACCTACAGAATGAGGTCATTTATGTAAATAATACTGATAATAATAACCCCTTATGCGAGAGAGTGCTCTAAATGGGTTCATTGAAGTCTAACTTACACACAGCACAGTGTGTAAATCTGGAGTGTGTGTAGCTGTGCCAGCGTCTCTTGCTGGAGACCAAGACCCATCCTGCCTCCTGCAGCTGGCTGCCTCGTTGCAGCAGGTATACTTCCCAGATGAAGGTCACTGAAGGTGGTATGACTGGAATCCTCCAGAATGTACTTTCATGCCTGGCTTCTTCACTGGGCCCATCACATGCAGGTCTATGTTCTTTCTCTTTGCTGTGTAGTGTTCCATTGTGTTCTTATGCTGCAGTTCATTTCTCTCCTCCTGGTGATGGGCCTTTCAGCTGTTTGAGGGTTTGGCCAGTGGAAATCAAGTTGCTGTGAACAGTGGTGTGCATCTCTTTCCATGGACATAAGCATGAAAAGTGGGAGTGTTGGCTCACATTCAACTTTTGTCAATATGGCTAAATATCCCCCAGTGTGATTTTACCAATAATACTACAGTTTTTAAGAGGACAAAACCTGTTTTTAAAAGGTCTGAGAGGCCAGGGGAGACCAGAAATGGGGGACTGTGGCCTTTTCTAAAATGTTTTATTTTTTAAGGAGAATACAGTGATACATTTTGGAGTAATTAAAAATGAATTTTAAACCATCTAAGGTGGGTGGTTGAGAGAAGCTGTGCCTGGCACTGGGCTCACCCTCCCGCTTGCTTTCTCTGTGGTCAGGTACGGCCAGATGACAGCAGGCAGCTATTGCTACATCGGTCCCCAAGGAATCGTCCATGGCACAGTGGTGAGAGAAGGGGGGACCATGTCTGGCCCCGGGGGATGCAAGGTTGATGTGCTGGGAGTGGACAGTGAGTACCTGAGTCCTCTCCCTGCAGCTCACCGTGTTGAATGCTGGGCGTCGGTACCTGGGTGTTGAGGACCTGGCTGGGAAGGTCTTTGTCACTTCTGGACTGGGCGGAATGAGTGGGGCTCAGGCCAAAGCTGCAGCCATTGTGGGGTGCATTGGTGTAATAGCAGAGGTGAGCCCAGCAAGACCTCTGGGTCCTCCTCCCTGCCTCCCTCCCTTCTTCCTCATTCCAAAGCGACTCACACTCACAACCCTCTCTTTTCTCGCCCTCCCTCCTTCCCTCACTCATTCCCTCCACAAACCCCCCCCCCCGGGGTGGGCTCCTAGGGCAGCATGCACCTCCTGCCTTCAAAGTGCCCATCATTTCCCACGGTCAATGCCTGTTGATGCTGTCCCATGGAACTGACCTCTAGGCACTGCTTCCCTTACTCTACCAAATACCTGGAATATATCTGGGAAATAATAAATGTTTGTGAATAAATGAATATAGACTCCGCCAACTCAGACAGTTCCTAGTCAGGTCGGGGAAGCAGACGGGTCACTCATCAGTGGAGGGGCGAACAGGCCGCTTTCCCTCAGTGACTGTCACTGCCTTCTTTGGTAGTAGTGTCAAGGACATGAAGGGAAGCAAGAAGGGAGGGTGAGTGGCTCTAAGAAAAGCCTTGGTGATACACACCAGTGTGATTTGCACTTAGTTGATACTAAACCTGTGACATATATATATATATATATAGCTGTACTTGTTAGGAGCCCATTTGGCTGCAGGTAACAGAAAACTGAGCTCTGGCAGCTTACACAAATAGGGCTTCCTTTTTCTAACATAACCACCAGTGCTGGCATCGATTCAGTAGCTCAGTGATGTCAGGGCCAACATCTCTAGAGCCTCTTGGGTTTCCCTTGTGGGTACAAAATGGCTGCCCCAGCCCCAGCCATTCCATCTAGATTCAAGGCAGGAAGAGAGGAGAAGGGAAAGCACCAGCTATCACTGGCTCTATTTTAGCAGGAAAAGAATGTCTTGAAACTCCTCTTTTCCCTCATTGGTCAGTATTGGATCAAATGGATGTTCTTATCTACAAGGGAGCTGGTAATAGAGGAAAGGATAGTTATGATTAGCTTGAATGTGGCTTATCTCCTGGGACTGAGAACAGTGTCACCCTAAACACAATCTGAACTCTGTTGATAAGGAAGGTAGGAGGGAGAATGACTATTGGGAAGCAGTTCATAATGTCTGCCCTGACACTGTGTTATAAAAGTGAGTGATCTACATGGAGGGATGGCACCTACACAGTGGAGAGTGACACACCTGATGTGATTTGTAACTGGGTGGTCTTGTGTTTCATGGTCACAGGTGGATAAAGCAGCCCTCATGAAACGCCACCAGCAAGGCTGGCTGATGGAAGTGACTGACAGCTTGGACAAGTGCATTGAAAGACTGAGGTNTAAGGGTTCACCTCAGACCCACAGACTCCAGGGCTACCACACACCTCGGGGGTCCTCCAGGACTTTCCTGGAGGTGAACACCTAGCTGCTGATGGGATATATCACCTGAGTCTTACTCATGTATCACCAGGTAACTGAGGTGCCTCCTCTCACATTTTTCTCCACAGGTGGTGGGCTCCCAGGCAAGGATCCTGTATTCAGACCAGAAAGGCCGTGTGGCCATTGCTGTGGCCTTTAACCAAGCCATAGCCCATGGAAAGATCAAGGTGACGTGTGTTATGCCGCTGGTGGGGGCCTCCCTTAGGATCCTCCCTATTAGTGCCAGCACTGCCCCAGGGCCCCATGCTCTATGTGTGTGTCTGTTGGGGGGTCGGGCAGCTGGGGGCATGGAATGATATGGTCGGTCCTCAAGCCCAGGCTCTGACCCTGGTCCCTGTTATGTGATTTTGGGCAAGTCAAGTGCTCTCTCTGAGCCTCAGTTTCCCTCATGTGAAAGGAAAATCATGTTTAACCTCAAAGCATGGGTGTGAGAATTAAATGATCTGGCTTCCACACAAGTATTTTATGCATCTTTGTTAGTTAACTTTTTCAAACCATGAGAAACTTCCCATTTTCCTCCAAGTCAGCCTGGCCCACCTCGGGGGACTTGGAGCCCTAGGCACACTTGTTTAGAGGGGCTTCTTGCACACCTCTGTTTTGTAGGCTCAAGCCACAGAATTCTTGTAGTAGACCTCTGGAAGCACCAGGAGTATTAATGATCAGATATGAAAAGAAAATCGAGACAGGTGAACGTGAAGGCCATCCCAGTGGATGGTTCTGGGTGGCACGGACAGCAATTTCAGCAGCGCTGGTCTTTCTCAGGGAGCACCACCAGAATGCACCACTGGTGGGCGCTTCCCAAAAGCCCACCATGCTCATAAGGAAGGCTAGCGCGGCTCAGCACAACATCCCTCTGGGCACACACCCAGGCTGAGATTGGAGGTCGGAACTGAGAGCTGAGTGTTTTAAGCATTCATTCATTCATTCATTCATTCATTCAACAATTGATTGAACGCCTCCCCTGTGCCAGGCTTATTCTAAGCACTGGGGGTGATGTAGCAGAGAACTAGATAGACAGGGTCCCCCCACCTTGTCCTATTTACTAGTGTAGGGAAGCTGACAATGTACAACTTAAGGTATAAATTTAGAGAGACTTTCAGATGGTAACAAACGCTGTGAAGAATGAGTTGAGGTGACAAGGTGAGGGCTATGGGGTGGGGTGAGCAGTGACAGTGGATGGGGTGNCTTGGCTAGACCAAGATTCTTTCCACTTCAGGGCCTTTGCACTTGTTCTGTCTGCCTAGAATGCTATTCCCTCAGATCTTGTGCAGCTGGTAGGACATAGCTTGACCATCACTTCCTCAGAGAGTACTCTGGTCCCCTTGACCCACCTCCCTAGTGACTACCTCACCACACTCTTATTTTCTTCATAGCCTATAGCAGTCTTTGTTCCAAGTGCCTGGCATGGTATTCAATAAATGTTTGTTGAGGGAATAAATGTATCGGGCAGTGCACTAATTCACATGATCATTGGCACTGATGATTCTGAAAATCAGATGGCCTGGTGTGGTGCTGGGGAAGGGGTCTCCCTGACCCTGAGCCTGGGTTCCAGTGATAAGTGAAGAACAGGTGCCTGTGCCAAGCAGTGTGAGAGAGGGATGGTCTGCGCCCTTCCTCAGTTTAGGGGCTCCTGGTACCCCTAACACCCCACGCTCTCTCTCCCTGCAGTGAACCCAGCTGTGAAGTTACAGTATGTGGACAACATCCGCTGGATCCAGGAGGCTGCCAAGCACCAGCTGGTGAGGTCTTGGCCTGTTGAGGGGTAGGGGTGGGCCACTGGCCTGCCCACCTGTCAGGTAGACAAGAACCCCGAGAGGGTGCCAACACACTCTGTGAGACTTCTTAGGTGGCATGCCCACTGGCAGTAGCAGCTACTTTGACCAGGGGGCTGCCGGACAGAGAAGCCCAGAGCCTTTCAAAAGGTAGCCTGGAGCTCTGGGCCAATCAGGTCGCTCTTCACCCAGTTGCTCCTTGAGAGAGGTGGCCCCTGCAGGGCCTAGGAACCAGGCCCCCTGGCTTCTCAGCTATGTGACTTGGGGCAAGTGGCTCAGACTCTCTGAGCCTCCTGTCTCATCTGCACAGTGGAGATGCTGGTGATGGTATGTGCACCTGGCTGTGGTGGTATGCTTGGGGCAAGCCCTCTTTGGCAGTCAGTGCATGATGCACTGCTAGGGCCAGGATTGAGCAAATAGGCTGCCTTGCCCTAGTTTCTGTGACTATGAGTGTGCTCAGGTGAGTGTGAAAAAAAATCAGGGTGACACAGAGTGGGAACTGCTCTATACTGACAGATCAAAAAGGTATCTCTGAAGAGCTGACTTGTGAGTTCAGGTTTAGGGATGAGGAAGCAGCCATGTGACAGTCAGGGGAGGCAGAGGGACCAGAGAATGCACAGGCCCTGAGGTGGCAGCAAGCTTGGTGTAACAAGGACAAATGAAAAAGTGGGCATTTGGTTCACATAGATTTGGCCACAGATCCCGATGACCAGATGCTTTCACTAGGTCTGGACTAATGTGTCCTTGGCCTGGGAGTCCCAGGACTAGGAGGAGATTGCCTCCACCCGCCATGAGAAATGCCCCCTTTCCAGCACTTCTGTGGTCCAATGACATCCATCCAAACTGCCGCCTCCTTGCCCAGTGGTTTGCACATGTGTTTCAGGCACAAAACGCCTTGTTCCAGGAGAGGTCTCTGTGACCANGTTCCCCCAGTATGTTGGTTGGGGTGGGCAGCTGTGGACAAGTGCGATGGGGCCGTCTGTTCTGCTCTTGTGCCCTCTAGGGAAGCAAGGAGAAAAAAGGAGGTGCTCAGCCTTGGTTACCATGGCAATGTGGTGGATCTTTGGTAAGTTCGGGGGTGGGAGTTGGCAGCCTTGGGAACCCCAGGTGAACTTCCGCCTCCAGCCAAGGTTCCAATGGTGGTCAGGCGCTTCCGGAACCCAAAGCTTCAAGTGTTGGCTTGAGTCTCTGCTCCCAGCTTTCATGGCCCTTACCCTGACCCAAGCCCACAGCAGCCTTCCCACCTGTGCTCTTTGGGGTAGGAGAGCAGTGTTGGGGTGGTGTAGGGTTAGCCCCAGTCCCTGGTTACCAGACATGTGGGCTGGAAAATGTGCTGCAATCCTCTCCTAACTGGACCCTAAATTGGGGCCCCAGATGCTGCCTTTTGTAGCCCTGGGCAGGTACCACCCTGCACTGACTATCCCATATCTTCCCCAGGGAGCGCCTGGTCCATGAATTGGACACAACAGGGGAACTCTTGGTGGACCTGGGATCAGATCAGACATCCTGCCACAATCCATTCAATGGTGGCTATTATCCTGTGCAGCTTAGCTTTTCAGAGGCCCAGAACCTCATGGTCTCCGATCCTGCCACATTCAAGGGCCTGGTCCAGGAAAGGTGATGCAGGTCCCTGGGCTGCTCGGGGTATGAGGCGGGGGTGGGGTGCACATTGGGAGGATTTTTTTGGACTGGGCAGCTGTGGCCTCTGCATGGCTCTCCAGTGGCCAGCTGTGTGGTCTTTGGCAAGACCCTTAACCTCTCTGAGCCTCTGTCTCCTCCTCTGTCAGAGGAGGTGGAAGTCCTTAGAGCTGGCTGAGTTCCATGGGGTAGGGCTGGGGGTGACTGTGATGGGGCATGGAAGGCCTATTATCAGAGCCTCACCAGTGAGCAGAGCTGACAGCTGACTGCTTGCCTGTTGCAGCCTGAGGAGGCAAGTCTCGGCCATCAACAGGCTGGCCAAGGAGAACTTCTTCTTTTGGGACTATGGCAACGCCTTCCTCTTGGAGGCCCAGAGAGCAGGTGAGAAAAGAGAGACTTGATGAGGGGGGCCCATCCTTCCCAGGCTGGGAGAAGCTGAGATGCTGGCACTAGGCACACTCCCCTCCCTCCAGCCAGGGGTTGCCCAGCAGGGACCATGGCATGCAGGTTTCACTGTACTCCTGCCCAGGCCTCTGGAAGCTGGTCTGGCCAGCTTGACCTCTCTGGCTTCAGTCTCTCCATTTGCCGTAAGAATGTAAAGTACCATAAAGAGAGTGGGTACAATGCTTGGGTATGCCCTCCAGCGCAGATGATTGCAGCTTTACTTTTCTGTGAAGGAAACTTCTTTCTGTAGAACAGGTGAGTCATTCATGGATTGTAAAGTTCTGAAGGTATAAAAGATATGCAGTGGAAAGTCTCCCTCCCAGCCCTGTCTCTGGTTCCAGCTTGCTTCTCCCCCACCCAGTATCTTCAGGCTCGGGGGTGCCTCTCTGGACACGATGTGGCAGACATGGGCACGTGTACACACTGCCCCCACACACCGAGAGCCTATCTGTTCCAACCCGTGCTGCACTTGGTGTCTCTTCTTTTACCTGAAAAGAGACCTGGCGAGGCTTCCCTATCTGGGCAGAGTTACTTCGAAGTCTTTGCCTGGGCTCTTTGTTTAAATTACCACCTGGAGGGTGGTGTGTGTCCTCACTTTGGGGTAGGGCCTGCCAGCCCTTGGCTCCTCCGGGTGACTGTGTGGCTGCTCTGTCCACAGGGGCTGACGTGGAGAAGAAAGGTGCCAAAAGGACCGAGTTCCGCTACCCCTCATATGTCCAACACATTATGGGGTAAGTGATGGGGCCCCTTCCAGTGTCTGGTCCTGGAGATTCAGGTTGGAAAAACCCCTCCTCTGACCACTGTTGAGGCCCCAGAGTGGCCACCATACTGGGTCATGGCACTCCACTACGAAATGCAGATGAAGAGGAACTGAAGCCATGAGAGACCTTGTACAGGGCCTCAGGGAGAGGACAAGGAGACTGCAGGGGCCTGGAGCCGAGGTCACTTCCTGGTCAACCCCCCAACCTCTGGTACCCACAACCCTAAATGCTGTGTCTGAAGAGCTGCCTATCCCATGGCCATGGCCATGGATCTGAGTGGGCCGCTGATGGCTTGATCCATGGAGGCCAAGACCTGCTGTCCCCTGAAGCCCTTGTACCTACCTGGCTATGCAGGGCAGATCGGGGGAGGCCAATGGCCCAGGACAAGTAGGGAGAAGGGGGAGATACCCAGAGGGAGACTGGCTGAGGGTAGAGGCTTGGAGGCCAAGGCCAGAAGTTGGGCTTAAGCAACACAGGGACAGGGGACGGGAGGCCAAAGGATGCTTTTGGAAGATTCCCAGCCCTCAGTGTGGCAAGATGGGACCAGGGAGGGAGGGAGGCAAGAAGGCGACTGTCTCCTTCTCAGGTTCACTATAGATGGGGGCAGAGCCAGAGTGGGCTGGGCCACAAGCCACAGTGCAGGGGCAGCTGGGGTCTCCCTGGAGAGGGAAGCAGGATGGTAGCCCACAAGGAGCTGGGTGAGCGTGGGAGCCCAGGGTGGGGTGGGGGTGGGGGTGGGGGCGGGTGCTCAGACCACTGCCTCCTTCTGCCTGGAGGACACACAGGAAGGTCAGCTCACCTAAGGCAAATTTGCCCAAGCCCCCACATTGACGATTTCTCTCAACTGTTTAGTTTTCGTTGACTGATTTTCAGGTTGTCTACAGCAGCAATTTAAGAAATGTATGTTTGTCGGTGGTCCAGCTCCCTGCTTCTTCAGCTAGAGACCCTGAACCTCTGAGAGGGGAGACAGAGAGAGAGACAGGAGGGAAAACACTGAGGGGACAGAGGGACGCTGAGGGAGAGAGAGGGAAAAGGGTAGAGGGAAAGGGAGTGGGGCTCAGGGGAGCAGGTAAAGGAGGAGGGAGTGGGACTGAGAAGGAGGGGCTGAAAGACAGGGGGCCTGAAGGGCAGGGGGTGGAGGGAGAGTGAGGGGAACTGAGGGGGAGTAGGCCGGGAGGAGAAGGGACTGTGGAGGAGAAGGATTGAGGGGGAGGGGGCCGGAGGAAGCAGGGCCTCTGAAACTTCCTGTCCAATTAGTGACTTAGGGGCTTCCAGGAACAATTCTGGACACTGAAGCCCCCACTTTACTACAAATGTCCATACACAATGCCGCCCTCCCCCCCCCAACACACATCCCAACTAGCACACAGCCTTCACCCTTTCTCAGTTCTGGAACATATGCCAGCCTCCCCTTTTTGGATCATGATGACTCTGGCCCAGCCAGTGGGTACAGACAGCCTGGGGACCCCAAGATGACAAAGCATTTTGTCCTTGCAGAGACATATTCTCCCAGGGATTCGGGCCTTTCCGCTGGGTATGCACATCAGGGGACCCCCAGGACCTGGCAGTTACCGATCAGCTGGCCACCTCGGTGCTGAAGGAGGCCATTGCTGGTGGAGGTGAGGCTGTCAGGTTGGAGATGTTCGAGGGCGAGTGGATTCCAAAGTCTCCCTTAGCAAGCCTGCCTGGCAATGCAGGGCAGCCCTCTACCATACCCCTCCCCCCACCACCACCCGCCTTGCCCTTGTGGGCAAAGGGACACATGGTTTCGGGTTTGTGCCTGTCAACAGTGGCTCTTATTCTTTGTAGCAGCCTTCTGTGCCCTCTCTGCACCTTCAGCCTTCCGCGTCTATCAGGCCCACTGTTTAGTATAGGTCAGAGCCTCTCTGGTCGACCTGTGGTTTCTCTGATACAGAACATCGGTTCTGCCTTTCCACATGAATGGGGGAGATGGTTTAACCACAGACCACAGTCCCTTCTTGTGTAGTGGATTTGACATGTCATTTATCATGTGGAGAAGAGAAGGCAGTTACTTCATGAAACTTCCTCAGCTGTCAGCACTCCTACCCCAATTTCTCTGCAGGTTTTCTACAGGTCCAGGGGTGACCTTCTCTCCTGGTGGTTTTCTGTGTGGGTTGTTCAGACTTTGCTCCTTGTTTTAAATCCCCAGGGGCCATTTTCACCCTGCTGTCCACATCTGTGTTCAGTGGGCTGCGGTGGGGTCTGGGCTACAGAGATACATGGCTGGAGAACCAGGCTGAAGTCGGGCGGGACCACCTATTAGGAGGAGCCAGGTAGGGGGAGGCCTCATGGGCAAGGAAGGGGAAGCAGAGACCTTCTCTTGGGAATCTGGTCAGAGACCTGCTGAAGCTTCCAGGTGTTAGAACAATTGCACAGCCCTCACTAGGTGGCTGGTGGGTGTCCCACAACCAGCCCTCCAGGAAGAAGCCCTGAGATGTTGCATCTGCTGATGGCCATGGTCTAAATGCTGTCAGGGTGGTTGATATCAAGTGAGGCTCCACGTGGAGCAGTAGCAGTATTTCCACCAGGCAGATACCTTGAGAGCACAGATCCTCCTAAAAGGTAGTAAATTAAGTGATGACTTTGTGAGCATTACTTTCATTTTTAATAAAATTTTTTAAAATGTAAGCTCACTTAATTGAAATTTAACAATGTCTGTGTTAAACACTGGCTCACAGGATTCCTGAAGATTTAAACCGTCCGCTCTCATTAGCATGTAGGAGCAGCTCCTGAACTCCATGGCAACCGCCCTCCTCTGCATACCCTCCACACTTTAGCCAACTGGCCTGTCTTACTTGGCTAGACCAAGATTCTTTCCACTTCAGGGCCTTTGCACTTGTTCTGTCTGCCTAGAATGCTATTCCCTCAGATCTTGTGCAGCTGGTAGGACATAGCTTGACCATCACTTCCTCAGAGAGTACTTTGGTCCCCTTGACCCACCTCCCTAGTGACTACCTCACCACACTCTTATTTTCTTCATAGCCTATAGCAGTCTTTGTTTCAAGTGCCTGGCATGGTACTCAATAAATGTTTGTTGAGGGAATAAATGTATCGGGCAGTGCACTAATTCACATGATCATTGGCACTGATGATTCTGAAAATCAGATGGCCTGGTGTGGTGCTGGGGAAGGGGTCTCCCTGACCCTGAGCCTGGGTTCCAGTGATAAGTGAAGAACAGGTGCCTGTGCCAAGCAGTGTGAGAGAGGGATGGTCTGCGCCCTTCCTCAGTTTAGGGGCTCCTGGTACCCCTAACACCCCACGCTCTCTCTCCCTGCAGTGAACCCAGCTGTGAAGTTACAGTATGTGGACAACATCCGCTGGATCCAGGAGGCTGCCAAGCACCAGCTGGTGAGGTCTTGGCCTGTTGAGGGGTAGGGGTGGGCCACTGGNAAGTGAGCATAGGAAGTGGGGAGACCATGGGAAGGGGCCCAGAGGATGGGCTGCTCTGCGTGGGCCTGTTCAATGCTTGGCACCTCCACACCAAGTGACCACTCAGAGATGGTACAGTAGGAAGTCACGGGAAGGATCTTGTAATGTCTATTTCTCACTGGTCATTATTGCTGGTATGTAGGAAACTTCTGGTTTGTGTACTTTGGTGATTAGACACTTGATTCTAACAGATTTTCAGTCATCCTCTTGGTGTTCCCGATACTCAGCCACAGTTTTGCAAACAATGTGTCTCATGTTTCTCTCTGTTGTGACCTCAGTGCTCAGCCCAGAGCCGGACACATAGTAGGTTCTCATCAAATCTGTTGGGGAAACATGAACCCTTGAGAGATGGAGCTTTTCCTCGGCGTGACTCCATCAGGTTCAGCATAAGTCAGTCTTCCTCCCCACTTATGCTGTGATTGCCTGTGCAGTGTCAAGGGCAGCATTTCCGCTGCTGCTTGATGTCTTCCGAGGTATTTTAGTGGGAATGCGGGGAGGACTGCCCTGGGGCTGCTGATCAGATGCCATTTTGGAAGGATCCTCTCAACTGATTTGCTTTGCAGAAATGAGCTGTGTGGTGAGGCTGCATCGGCACCGTGGCTCTCCACCCTGGCTGCAATATTCTAATCAAAGCAGGCTTGACTGAAAATGTTCAAGCACACACAGAATTTGAGAAATATTTCTAATTTCAATATGGGATGCTATTTAACATAGATATTGTCCTGGCCCTGTGGCAGGGATGCAGTCCTTCTCCAGCATCCCTCACTGCCCTGGGACCATAGGCTGTTTCCCTGCTTCGTTATCCTTGTGCACCTGGGAAAGAGGAGCGCGTCTGGCAAGGTGTTCAGTCGATCTGTATCTTTGAATGGGTGCCACGCTGCCCCACTTAGTGCCCCACTTATTGTTGCTTGTTGATACTTCTCGCATCTGTGAGGGCTTTTATGTATTCAAACCTTATGTTCCCCAAAATATGCTTTCATTTGTTTTGTCCTTTTTGTTTTCCAAGTAATGTTTGGAATCACCTTTAGTGACATTTACAATTTGAGGATCACCTTGAGTGAGTTTTAGGAAGGTCCTTATTAGAGTTCTAACAGCAATAGCCCTAATTCTAAGAATTGCCTCAGGGAGGGTTGTAACCATTGTTACCTCAGTTTTCCGATCTGGGGCGTTCAAGTCCGCTGTTTCCTTTGTGATCTGGGTCCTTAAAGGACACACCTCAAAGGTCCCTGCATTTCACACACACACAATACTTTGATATTCTGCATTCTCACCAGGTGGGTTCCCCCAGTATGTTGGTTGGGGTGGGCAGCTGTGGACAAGTGCGATGGGGCCGTCTGTTCTGCTCTTGTGCCCTCTAGGGAAGCAAGGAGAAA